AGTGCAAATGCTTGAATTCAAGAAGAATAAACGTCAACGACGTCAAAATGCTGTAAAGATGAATGAAATTCTGTAAGTAATTTGATGTACTCGTACTATGCAAAGTTCACTTACTTTTATTCCGTTAAATTCCTACGTGTTATTACATAATATATTTTTATTTTAGGAGGAGAAGAAAAGTATCTGAACGCGAATTTGACGACAAAAATAAATATTCAAGTTTACCAATAATTGAAAATGATAATGGGTAAGTCGGGCGCGCTTTTGAGTCCATAGACTTATGGAATTATAACCAGAATTTATGAAATTTGATGTGATATTATTTGTGGTTACCATATTATAAATAATATGAACCTTTTCAAATATATAGCTAAAATATGTATCTAAATGATTTATTACAAGTAATTCCGTTTTGTTTTCATGCAAGATCTAATATAATTTATTCTTTATTGCAGGCTAAATACGAACAATAACGATACGGCAGTAAGCGACTTGAGTCAAGAAACAATAGAAATACAGTATAACTGTCTTGATTCAACTGAAATGGTTGAAGATGTAAAGGTATGTTTATTTAATTTTTTGGTTTGTAGATATTATGATGCACAAATGTGTACTTACCTAATTAAAATACTTTAGTAGGTATTGTGATTAGGTACAACACTTGTGCTTGTGATTAGGTAAAAGATATCTAAGTAAGTACTGTAAAATGCCCTTATTTGACTTACCTAGCCTTACTTTGCCTAAACCGATCATTTGAATTTCATTAGTAGGCTATTCGATCTAGAATTAAAGTTAAACTTAAAGTTATAGCCTATATACGTCCCACTCCTGGGCACAGGCCTCCGCTCATTTCTGAAAGGGTCCTAGGGCAAAGAATTATGCACCGCGCTGCCCCAATGCGTTTTTCTTTTCTTCTTCTTCGTGCATTTTTTTTTTCTTATTTCTCAGACATGCAGGTTTCCTCAAAATGTTTTCCTTCACCGCTGAGCACGTGGTAAATCAACACTTAAAATTGCAATTACAATTTCATTGATGCCGACGGGAATCGAACTCGGTTTGCTCGCGCAATGTGAAAATTTCAGCGAGCGCTAACCATCTGAGCAACCACGGCTCCTCTCCCTTCGAGCTAGAGATTTTATTTTATTTATGGTACGATTTTTGTCGCATGGCAGCGCTTACTTTTGGTTCTGGCAAAAAGTTGTAAAACGTCTGTGAACGTCAGAATTGTGCAAATGTTTTTACCTGCGCTTCAAAATTTTATTGTGTGAGTATTTTAAACTATTTTTACGGATTTGATGAACCATATTAAATAAAAAATAGTCTCCTCTCTTCTTCTCTTCTATGTTTTGATATCTCTTATATCTTTCCCTCTATGTTTTGATCTTCTAAAACGAGTTTGAGTTGGTAAAATCAAGGCAAACTTAGGGTCTTACTTTCTTACTTTTTGTCAATTATTATTTTGATAATAAAACTAGTGAAATTTCGCGGTTTTATATGCGCAAGCGTGAACGTAGTTAGAACATAATATAACCTTTATGTTTTACATAAATATCCTAAAAAACTTATTATTTTAATATGTTACTACTATCTATTAAATTAACAAGTTTTTTGCATTTTTGTTTAAGTAATTTTTTACGCAATTTCTTTATCTACGTCTATTTTTAGGAACCTTTATTTAGTCTGAATCATACATAATACTATATTACTGATTTACTTACTTATACGTAGTTTTCTTTTTTGCAGTTACAAATATCGTGTGAGGTTGAAAAAGGCAGTAATGAAAAAATAATAAGAAGAGTAATAATTGACGTCAGCCACTTCTTTTCATAAAAATTTCAAATCATGGTCCATTAGCTTGCAGCTTTACCGAACTACAACTTATCGGAGAAACACAAAAGGTTTAGAGTCAAAATTTACGTTTAAATGCCAATTATGCAACCAAAAATTTGTAACAGTAAACGATGATTGTAGTGAAAATTATTTATCATTAAATGAATGTGCAGGTACGATTGAAATAGGCGCGGGAAATTCGCAACTAAACGAGCTATTGTCATCAATGAATCATACATATAATACATATATATAATACCCAATTATTGAAAAAATGGGAAAGTGCTAAATATTAGTGAAAAATAGGAAAGTCTTTGCATAGAAAATAAAATTTTGACTGTAGGACTGTCAACTGTGAAGAACTGTACACAGTGATGGAGAAGCTTGCACGACTCCAACCAGCTCCGGTCAATCCCTCGTCCCCGTATGACCTCATACCGTACACCAAACGGTCTCCAAGTTACAAGAGCTGGGGTAGGAAGCTCTCCGTCGTTGGCCGTGCTGACTAGACTATGCGCCAATAGACTCCCGTTCTTTACCCGTCCAGTTGATTTCTTCAAGAACGGCGTCAATAAACTACCACTGCGTTGGCAAAGATGCATCACACAGATTGTATGGGTGATTAATTTCAATATCAAATTAAAATTTTATTCAAATAACCAGTTCAGTTTTATCTATTATGTCAATAAGATCAAATATATATATATATATATATATATATATATATATATATATATATATATATATCGTGATTGAGTGATTTCTTATTTACATAAAAAACGGATACAACACGGCTAGAAGTACATCACTGCCTAGCAGCTTTAACTAATCCATGGTCATGCAAATATGTAAGCTACGCCAACTTAAAATAAACTGTGCAGGGAACACAGTTGCATAAAAACAGACAACTGAAATAGGAAACAAAGAAAGGAATCGAAGTTGCCACTGCAAGCCGGATCACGCAACAGTATTTTAGCAAACGCTTTATAACGTCTACGTAGGTGGATTCCTTACGGCATTTTATTCGTTCACTGGGCGGCATGCACAGTGCAGCGAGACTGACTTTAGGAGACTTTATATTCCTTGAAACCTGGGCTTGTGGTACCGTCGACACTACGCTAAGCGGGGCCGTTTCGCGTCGCGCTCTTCGCTTGTATCCGACACACTTCCGCCACTACTACTGCCCCCACTCCCACTGCCGCCGCCCTCTTCCTCCTCGTCAGAATCGCCGTCGTAGTCTACGAAACCCTGAACATCAGTGTGCGTAGGCTTGCTGGCGACTGTTGTACTGAGTAGTACTCTGCTAGGTACATTCACTGTCTCTGTATTCGAGCACACTTTTTTTCTACTATTTTACCAATGGCGTCGAGCGCATAGTCCGCGTGCGCGTGTGGCTGCGCGGAGTCGAGCGGCGCTTCGTCTTCGAACTCGTCTTCGTCATTGAACCACATCTCCTCCTCGTCGTCGGGCGTGCGCGCCTTGCGTCTGTACCTCGTGCGCAGCAACGACGGTACCACCGCCTCCGCCACATTAATAGATCCTAACTTAGCGAGCCGGGGAGTAATGCTACTTAGTTTTGTACCTGGTAGAGCCACGCTGCAACTATCATGGTTGTAGCACGAATGTGTCGGCTCGACCGGGGAAGGATCACGCTCTCACAGAATACCAGCGTAAAATAGCAGTATCCAGTCAAATGGGTTTCCAGTTCACTACACTCACTATACGAAACACAGCAGCATTAACTTTTTATTATACGCTGGTATTCTGTGAGAGCGTGGCCCTTCCCCGGTCGAGCCGACTCATTCTTGCTAAAACCATAATATAGCTGCAACATGGCTTCACCGTGTACAAAACTATAAGCATAGTATAAAAATATCATGACAAATTGTTGGACAAAAGTATTAGGCATAAAAAACTAAAATTAAGCTTGAGGTGTTAAGAAAGTTAGGACCGCTTTCTACTATCTTTGTTGGTTTGAGACGCCAATACACAATTCAGTGCATTCAACAAATTCCATCAGGCGTGCGTTCTCTACTAACAAAAAAAACCTCTTTTACCGACTTCAAAAAGGAGCAGCTATTAAATTCGACTGTATATTTTTTATGGGTGTTATCTCAGAAAATTAATTTGTAAGCAACTTAAAGAATAAAGTTCTTTTCAAAAGTGATTTTTATTTATTTCAATATAACACAGTATTATGTATACGTTATCCGCTACCGGGTTTTAATAAGCTTGTTCACGAATAGAATGTAGTTTTGTCACATTGAGTAAAATAGGCAAAATCGATATCCTATGAACATTTTACGGTAAAGTGTGTTGTTATATTAAAATTAGTAGAAGCAAAGTTTCACCGTAAAATGCAAAAGCACTTAGCTGAGTCTTTGTTTTATAGATAAAGAAGAAAATTTGTTCATAAAATTTCTATAGTACAAGGTAATATTATTAAGCTTGATAGGTTTCCATTATTTTCCCAATAGCCGATAACTGCTGGACAAGGATCTCTCCTGTTATGAATTTGCCTTAAACGTAACGCTTCGAAGGTGGAATGATGGCAGTATCCGAGTGTTCCACATCTAACTCTGCTGCACATAGCTGCGTTACTATTATTTCACCTATTATCATAGGGGGACTAAAGTCGATGACATCGTCCCGATGTCAAGGTTGACCCGCAGTACCTTCAGCTTTTAATTAATTACTATTTATATAATTACTATTTTTCCAATCTACGCAGAATTAGCTTACTGTGTCCTGAGGTTTTGCAGTGGTATACTTGGGTTTAGTTTTAATTTTATGAATTACAGGTAGTAGTGCCCAGTTCTCTATTGAAATTAGGGTGTTTTATTTAATTTTAATAGGCCCAAGTATCGTCCTTGGTAGGAATCAATGTTTTTTACGACGATTTGTGGTCTATCAAATTTAAGTTTTTTAGTTAGTTTTAGCAAAGGCCAACAACTTCATATATAAATTATAGGTCGTCGTTAGCCTCAAATTCTTTTAAGAATTTATATTTTATTTTGACAACTCAGAATTAATATCATGATATTTTTTAATAAATAGAATATCTATTAAATATTTATAATAGCAATTACTTATGAAGCAATAATATCTTAATGAAAACACAGAATTATTATATGTTTATAGAATATATTTATAAAAAAATTAAACGAAATCTAAGCGTTTGATCGGATCCAGGATGTGAAGCGCGAAACGCGAGCGTTGACACCAGGGTATCGGGCGAGAGCGCACTGTTCACCCCAAGAGCATACACCAACAATAGCTGCGTGGGATTGTGTGATTTCGTGAATTAGAGGGCCGCCGGAATCACCCTGACACTGGTCACGGCCGCCGACATCAAGCCATCCAGAACACAACATGTTGTCTGTAACAGTCTTGCCTAGCTCAGCATAACGGTTTCTGCATGTGGCTTGGTTGACAGTCCAGACCTGAACATGGCGCAGTTCCTCAGAACTAGATCCTCCGACCTGAAAATAACCAAAATCTCTTTAGTGTACAACTAAAAGACCACGACCTGATATGCTTTCCGACTGCGATTAGCCTGACTGAAGCCTCGTGTTATTTTTGTAATTTGGTCATACTAATTTCATTTACCACATTTTACTAAAAGATGCGGCTTACATCTTTATTAGCAATAAAAAATATGAAAAATAGTTATCAAAATGCCTTTAATCGATTTATCGCTTCACAGATTTTCTGAATTGACCAAAGTCTAAGCCTTAATAAGAATGCTAGTATTTTAAAGTAATTTTTGAAGACAACCGATTAATGCTATTTTTAATCTTACCGCAGTTGTTCCCCATCCAACAGCCCATACAGCCTCATTGTCATGGAGGATATAGCTGGAACCAGCCATAGTGCCAACTCGAACACGGTCGCTGAAAGAGATACTGGCTGTAAGCATTAAAGCGACATCGCTGTCATGCGTGCGATTGTTGTAGTTAGGGTGGATGATGAGCCGATAAGGGTTGTGAACTGTACCACCCCTGTTGGCAAACGTGGAACCAACACGTATACGCCATCTGTCACGTGTGTCACCGCTGCGGAGAAAAGTTATAACATCAGTATTTTTTAATGAATCTTTAATCTAAAAGAATCGTAAGGCAATTAATAAACGTACTCCACACAATGAGCCGCTGTAAGGATTGATCTACTGCTGATAATGGAACCACCACAAGCTTGCCTATAGATGAATAAATTCCTCGAGTACAATAAAGATGCAGCAAAAGGATATTTCTCAATTATTGTAACGGATCCACCGACAATCCTTTGTTGCTTCTCGGGCGCAGCTGAAACATATTATAATTTAATTTAGACTGTCATAAGTTGCACTGCATTTTAAGAGTTTTATTTTGCGATTTACTATTTCTTATTGACATAGAGTAGCCTTTATTGTTTTAGGTGTATACGTGTGCTGCAGTTTTCATTTTCTATTATGTGGACTATAAGTGAAGAAAAAAGAAAATAAACTTCAGCTAATAAATCTCAAGAAGTACGAGTAATATTACAAACGTATCAATATTTACTAAAATGTAATCATTCATCGGTTCTTTAATTTACAATAACTTTGACTATTCGGTTTATAATTTATTTTTCATGTTGTTATGGCCAAACTAGTGCAACTTCTATAGTGAAAAATATATGTACATACGAATCGTGAGCTAATTTTAATGACGGTTATCTCTAGTTTCTAATTTTCGTAATATAAATGACATTTTTAAATCAAGTGGGTTAAATGTCAAATCAAACAGTTACATTTGTACCAATTTTAATTTTGTTATAGGATTGCTTTAAATTTTGTTATAAGAGCCGTTGTTAATTAACAGAAATTTTAAACAATATATTATAAAACTTGCAAATTAGAAGTGCAAAAAATTATAACAAGAAAAGGCTACTAATAGCAATATAATAAAATGAAGAAAGGTATGTGGTGATTTTAATTTTAATTGAAATATGATATTTAACGCGATTACATATTTACCACCTCTATTAGGTAAGGTCCTTCAAACCGAACTTCAATCACGGACGCTATTATCACCGGAGACTAGCCATCTCCACACAGGACGGGTTTTTTTATAATTTACGATTGAAATACACACTATTTTCCTAACTCAGTTCAATGGGATAACAATACGAATCGAGCTATACTTAGAAACTATATTATCATATACATTCTATTCGTTTAATATCTCTCTTAAGTCACATTTTGGTAAGAATTTGATTATATAACGAAACTCGAGGCTATTTTCGATTACGTGATTATAAATATTTACTGGTTTTATTTTGGGACTAATCTACGATGAAAGAAAAAATCTCAAGAAATACAAGTAATGATTTAGAATTAATAATATAATTAAAAGAATCAGGCATTACTTTGCGGAAATCTATTAGTATATTGAAGTTGTTAAAACTAAATCTGTTTATTTCATTATACGGACACAAATAAATTAAGTTCTAACAATTTCAATTAATAATATGTTTTAAGATGTAGTCATGCGTTGGTTCTTTATTTTACTCAATAATTTTGATAATTCCATTTACATATTGTTCTTCATATTGCTGTTGCAACGAAATCTTGAAAATAAATTCATGTGTCACTTCAGTTTTATATAAAAAGGCCGTCTAGTTCTTAGTTGCTGAAAAATTTTGCACAAATCATTAAACTAAAATAACATATTATTATAAATCTAGATGTTGGGATCACTGTAAATCAGGGCATGCTCATATAGTTATTATAAAAATAAAAATATAAATAAAGTAGCACGCAACTTACCCGAGACACCTGCAACGCATATAGCCAAGAAAACTACGAATAGGGAACTCATTTTATCTCCGTCCGTCGCTACTGCATCAGTTTTTTAAAAAAAAACACTTATATATACCGCTAAAAATTAGGCACTTACTGATAACAATGTTATGATAATCATATTTATAATTGCTGCTTGCTTGCTGACTGCCTCGTTGGTCTAGTGGTTGTAGTAGTGCGACTACCGATCATTAGGTCCTGGGTTCTAATCCCGGGTTGGGCCAGAAAATCAATTATTGAGTTTTTCTGTCAAGTAATTTTCAGTAGCTGCCTGGAGTCAGGAAGTTGGCGGTGTCTCACCCCCTGTGCCTCGGAAAGCACATAAAGCCGTTGGTCCTGTGCTTGATCTCTCTTCGGTCGTGTCGGTTTACCGTCCCATGGGGTTATGAGAGTGAGGGAATGGAGGGTGCTTGCGCATACGCTTGGGCACTATAATCCTGTCCTGCGCTGATGGCTAGCCTCCGTTGGGGCAGGCCGCCGTGGCCGAAATTCTGTCTGGAGGACATTATTATTATTATTTATACTTCATAAGTTAATATCTCATTTCACTGAGCTGTTCATTTGAATTAAATTTTGAACATAGATTTTGTAGTATTTCTATAGTGCATTATATTATGATAATATAAATGTTAAAGGAGCTTTTTTTAATTTTAATGTTGTAGTTATTTGCCTTCAAAATCAAAGTTACAACTTTAGCATGTTTATAAGCCAGCTATAGGCTGCACGTAACGCTTGCTCGTTATGTTAAGCGAAAGCAGATTTCTTATAGATGACATAAATGAACACACATAGATGAAGCGGTTGAATAGTGATGAGCCATGACGTGAATTTAATTTAGTTTATAATAATTTTATCCTTAATTATAATTAATGAAAGTAATAGGTAAGTAAGTTACGTGAGGATATTTGGTCACCTTAAACTTTGCCGCTTTATAAAACCAAAACTAAGAGGAGGATAGAGACAAAAACACAAAGTTTTGTACTATAACTAATATATTAAGGAAAGAAACAAACAAGCTTTGGAAATAATTAGGAATTTTTCGAAAAATCTATCTAAAAATCTAACTACACTACACAAAACTAAACTCGCCTAAAATTTTTACTATAATGTCAAATGTCAAAATGGTGTCGATGAAGCAGCGCCCTTTTGAGCCTTTAATATTTGATTTACTGATGAAGTGCTATCGTATCACAGTCATCTATGCAAAAAAGACTGTAGTTTTTTAATTTATGGGAAAGTGACCATATTAACCGGATGGCCATATTGCGCTCACGTACTATATTAAATATATATTAGATAAGCAAGTAAATATGTTGTGCCTTTTCGCATGTCAATAAAACACAGGAATGAATTTATAAAACTGTGTAGTGGCGATGTAAAAATATTCAAACCCATATCATCCCGTGGGTGTCTCGTAAAAGGTGGCGGACAGAAACGCATCAGAGATGAGCAGCAGCGTCTTCCGAATAACGACTCGGATTTTTTTAAAAAATTCTACGGTACTACCCTTTGACACTAAAGAATTTTTTTTAAATCAGTTTTTACTTACTGTAATATTACTAATATTTCGTCAAGTAAGTTAAGTAACCTTTTGACAGCTTAGCACTGCATATTTCACCGTTGTAACATAAATTTTAAATAAATACCGTCGCGAGAAACAATTACCGCACGTAACCTTTCGTGACTAAAAATATCGTCCTTGCCATTTCAAGACTGTTCATACCCATGCTTACAGTTTATACTCGCTAATGTGCACTTTATAGCTTACTTACAAATACTCTAATCTTGAAAAGCATAATTCGTCTTTTGTTTATTAATGTTGCCATGGTGTAAATTTTTTAAACTATTATAAACCAGTGCTTTGGTACTATTTCAACTGATTGCAAGTGGATATCCGGGCATGAATAAATGCACATATTTAGATTAACAATATCCTCCTTACTTTTATTTTTTTTAATACTCTTTTAAATTAAAAGACATCCAATTCTTGTCGACGAATACATTTTTAAGTAGATAAAATGATCTACATGAATGTGAAATATTCGATCAATCCTAAATTGTTAGAATAATCGAGTGCAAAGTCTGGAGAGTATACAACGTTGCGGGTAGAAAATTCAAAACTCAGGCGGGGCCACCATTTTCATCACTAGCAAGTGCAACTGCTGATCATGAGTTCCCAGGTCGAGCCAACTAAGCAGTCATTGGATTTGAGCAGCCCGGAGTCAGGAAGTTTACCGGACTTATCTTATCACATAATTGTAAAGATAAATTTTGTATCAACATAAATAATCCGCTTGGAGAAATTACCCGATAAGGGGAATTCCTTATGAATTATTTAATATCTTACCTTTTTGTGTAAGATTCTATTTGGGTCTTCCCCCCCCCCCACTGATATGGATTAACGCCCCCACTGATATGGATTTTGTAACCCGTGTTGCGTCTTTAACAAAAGATAATATACGAGGGTGATACAAAAGTAATGATAATCGATTACTTCAGGTCCGCATAAAAATCCAAAAAAAATATTTTTGCTTGCTTATATACTCACTACGTCAGCCTAAAAAAATCATATAAATAGATCACGATTTCCGGGAGATACATTCATTTCAATACGAACTGTCAAAGAGATAACATCAACATGGGGAAAAACGAAATTAGAGCTGTCATCAAGTACCTCTGTTTGGAAAAAATGTCTTGAAAAGACATACACAGTGACTTAGTGGAAACATTGGGGGACTCTGCTCCTCCATATTCTACAGTTGCACGCTGGGCCAAGGAGTTTAAACTGGGCAGAACATCCACTGAAGATGAACATCGTGAAGAACCCCCATCCACGTCCCTCACTGAAGACAACGTGAAAAAAGTCGAAGATGTGTTGGCAGATCGAAGAGTGACCATCAGGCATGTAGCTGAGGTCACAGGGATCTCATATGGCAGCATTCAAAGAATCCTTGCGAACGAGTTGCATATGAAAAAGGTCTCTGCGCGTTGGGTACCCAGAATGTTAACCGACGAGCAAAAGAAAAATCGAGTTGACATTTCGAGGGTCAATCCCGAAAAGTTCCAAGCAGATCAAGAAAATTTTTTGTTCCTTTTTGTGACTATGGGCGACCTGGATCCACCATTTGGATCTTGAAACGAAACAACAATCGATGACTTGGAAGCGAGCCTCCTCACCGACGCCAAAGAAATTCAAAGTTTCAAGTTCGGCGGGAAAGGTTATGGCATCTGTTTTTTGGGACGCTCTTTGGGAGGCATAATTATGGTGGTATGTTTTGAAAAGGGAGCCACTATTACGGGCTCTTACTACGCAGACCAAATAAGAAGATTACGGGAGGCCATTAAGGAAAAAAGACGCGTCAAACTGCGACCTGGAAAGCTGTTTCACCAAGACAACGCACCGGCTCACAAAGCCGCAGTTGCGATGGCTGCCATTCAAGAAACGGGTTTCGAACTGCTCAAACACCCTCCCTATTCGCCAGATCTAGCTCCTAGTGACTTCTACCTCTTTCCTCGGCTCAAGGAACGCCTCCGAGGCAAGAAATTCTAAGACGATAGCGAAATAATGGCCGCTGTTGAAGCGTTTTGGGAGGGTCAAGACAAAGAATTTTTTTCAAAGGGAATCCTGGGTTTAGAAAAAAGATGGACTAAAATTATTGATTTGTTAGGAGACTATGTAGAAAAATAAATTATTACTTTAACTTTAATTACCGTGTTTTATTTTCATTATCATTACTTTTGGATCACCCCTATAATTGTGCGTTTCATGTCTCGTTACTACAAGGATAAGAGTCTCTGCAGGGTACGTCAGCTGAAAAACTGGAAAGCTAGTGATATCGGATTTTCAGGCAACAACTCTTATGTCTTCTTCAACGATCATTTAATTACAGCTAATAAACTACTGCTTCAAAAGGCAAAAGCTAAAGCTAAAGACTGCAATTAACAAATTCGTGTAGGTAAAAAAATGTACTATTATGGTGCGTCAAAGTGAAAGTAGTCCTGTGCTACATATTAACTCCACGAATGATTTATTCGAAGAAAAATAGGAACTTTTATTTATTTATATTTACAGAATAATAAAAAAATACAAATTTTTGCATATTACAAAATTAAACGAGGCATTCCATCATAGTCCTCATGGGTAACAACGCATCTGCATTTTGATTTGTAATCGAGGATAGATGTAGATGTCTGTGGGCCACAGCAACCACTTACCATAAGGTGGACTGTGTGCTCATTTGTCACCCTATCCTATAAAAAAATAGATAATAAATTGCGAATTTATTACCAAAACGTCAGAGGGTTACGTACAAAACTAGCATGTTCTATAAGAATATTGTTTTAAATGAATATAACGTTATTTGTATTACCGAAACATTCACTCACTCGAAACTACCAAGTGTTTTTGATTTGGAATTGTTTGAGTCTCGATATAGTGTTTACAGATGCGATAGAAACTATGCTACCGTTGGTGATAAGATTTTTTTTTATAGGATAGGGTGACAATCGAGCACACAGTCCACCTGATGGTAAGTGGTTGCTGTGGCCAATGACATCTACATCTATCCTCGATTACGAATCAAAATGCAGATGTGTTGTCACCCGTGAGGACTAAGATGGAATGCCTCGTTTCCAGTAAAATGGGTCGCCGGTTCTCTACACTCACCATACGAAATACAGCAGCATTAAGCTACTATTTCACGCTGGTATTTTGTGAGAGCGTGGTCCTTCCCCGGTCGAGCCGACCCATTCGTGCTACAACTATACATCTAATATAACTGCAGCATGGCTCTACCACGTATAAAAGATGTGGATGGGGTCTTAATAACTGTACATCAAAAATTTTATGTATGTAATTGTATAATTGTTCCTGTTGTAAATTCGGCAGCCGAAATTATATCTGTCTCCTTATCGCTTAATGGGACCTCAAAAACATTTATAACTTGCACTCGTGCTATCTTCCGCATTGCAATGCTCAAAAAGAGCATTATAATATTCGCCGTGATATCGAATATCAGGGCGAATATTATATTATTTTTGGTGGCTTTAGTATCCCTTGTACTGAGTGGTTGCCATTAAAAATATTTCGATTTCCACCCTTTATGGTAATTTTAATGTCAACTACATAAATGATTTACCTAATTTTATATCCATTAATGACTTTAAATTTTTTATTTAAATTACAGTGGTAATAACCGACTAGTTGATTTCCGAGCAGACATAAGCACCCACATACCTCCATCGACTAAAACCATAAGATGCATCTAAACCTGCGCAACATATCCACATATCTATCACAATACGCAATACTGCAAGAAACAGAAAGCATCAATGCTAGTTGCATTATTCATACGGATGGCGCCCCATCACAACACACCGACATGATGCCTATCGACTTTGGAAACAAAACTAGTACTTACTGTTTTTAACTAAAAAGAGCACCAACGTATCATAGCAGTAAAGACTTGTAAAATTCAGAGCACTAAAGGTGAAAAGCGCATAAAATGGGATATCGACGAGCTAAAAAATGCTACTAACGAAACATGTACGAACAAGGATTAGGTAGACCACTTACTAAATATGTCCCGTCTGACAACATTAATGAGGAGTGGCAAAACGTAAAAACAGCGGTGACAGAGTCAGCCAAAAATACTATTAGAAAGGCAAAGTGTACAAGAAATATAGAATGGTTGGATGAAGAATATATGCAAGTACTTACTAAAAAGAATGAAATGCAGCTTAGATATCTACAAAACAACAGTTTAAGAAACGAAGAACTTTATAAGGCTGAGAGAAACAAATGTAGGAAATTAGCGAGACGCAAAAAAACGAACGCAGAATGAGAGCGATTCAAGAGAATGGAAGACCTGAGAGTTCGTTATTTTACACTCCCCTTCTAAAGGGAAATAAACAGCCTTTGTAAAGGATACCAACCCAAAACCAATGCATGCCAAGACACGACTGGGAGTCTAATCACGGAAAAAAAGCAGACGTGCTTAGGAGATGGCGGAGACACTAGCGAAATCCTAAACATATAAAATGCAGCAACAGATAAAGAATCCATCTTTTTCGACGTTGAGAAACGACTAGAACCACCCACGAGAAAATCCATGAAACCATTCGTAGTCTGAAGAACAACAAGGCACCAGGGCTTGATACTATCACCTCAGAGCTACTCAAAAGAGGCGAAGGGATCGAGGAAAGAATGCAAGGACTATTACTTGATATGAGAGGAAGAACGACCCGAAGAGTTGAATTCAGGTATTGTTTATTGAACCGATATTCAAGAAAGGGAATAAAAGTATTTGTAGCAATTACAGAGGTATTACAGTGGCTTATATAGTTTTGTCAAGAGTCATTTACAGGAGGCTCTGTGGTTATGCTGAGGAGATACTGGGAGAGTACCAATGTGGGTTCCAACCTAATCGCTCTACTGTGGACCAGATTCACCTCCTGCGGCAAACACTGGAAAAGGCGTATGAATACAACATTAACTTGCATCATATTTTTGTGGATTTCAAGCAGATATTTGACAGCGTGAACCGTACACAAATACTCTTCAGCATATTACATTTAGATGTGTCCAGCAAATTGGTTAGGCTTGTCAAAGCCACGTTAAAGCACTCTAAAACTGTTGTAGTCATACAGAATGAACTGTCCGAGCCTTTTGATATCCGTTCGGGAGTGAAACAAAGAGATGCACTATCGTCTATAGTCTTCAATTTGGCACTTGAGGATGCCACACGTAAATTGAACATCAATAGCCTGATTGACTACAACACCACTCAACTCGCTG